AAAATGACATATATACACATTTTAAAGCATTTTATTGGGGGCTCTTACAGCTTTTATAACATTCCATACATCAATTGTATGAAGCATAGTTGTACATATGCTGCCATCATCATTTTCTAAACATTTACTTTCTATTTGTGGTCTTGGTACTACTCCTACTTTTTTTCCTCTCCCACCTCCCAAAAAGATATTTTCATTTGTATTGTTTAGTCTGATTCAGTCATGGCCAATTAATAGATCCAAAACTTTTAAATGTGGGTAAAACAAACACTAACCAGAATTGGAAATACTATAGGTAAAAGCCCTGATAGAAACTTCTCATTCTTTAAAAACAAAAGCAGTATTGCATAGCAACCAAATCTCAACCAGTTTCAGTCAAAAACAGGGTGGCTGGCTCAAAGACGGCAGCCAACCACACTGTTCCCAGTGTCACTCTCCAGTCTTGGCAGCATTTCAGCGTGGTGCCTGAGGCTCTGAAAGGGCTCACCATGCTTCTTCGAGCCCCCCAGTCCAGAGCCTTGATCCATGGTTTTTCCCGCTGGGTTAGCATTCAGCTCACTCAAATTTCCCAGATTTTAAAAATGTGAGTCTGTTCCAGTTTTGCTTTGTCAGCCATGACTGAACGGGTTCAAAATGGTCTGAAGCCCTCCTATGAATGGCTATTTATGATCTTGCCACAAAACACGTACTAAATACAAAGTTTAAAATTCCACTGAATCCAAGAAAAGGCACAGGAAGAAGGAAGTGAAAAATGCACGTTAGTGACTTTTCTTCAGGAAGTCGGAATGTGTTTACCTTTCCCATGAAGGAGACGGTATGTAGCCTGGAGTTCTGAGATTTCTTGAGGGGAGGGCTTTTGGGCAGTGGCTGCTATCCAAAGTCGTCCTCTGTGAGGGGTATACCAGGTTCTGCCCTCCACCCTTAAACACAAATTAAGTAGTAAGGGTCTAAATTCTAGTTTTTAGGAAAATCACATAACATATAGCAAGACTAGTAGAAAATTATCCAGTGCATAGAGGCAATAACTGATGCAATGGTTTATCAAGACTATGGGGTGGGGTTGAGGGTGGGGAAGGTGAGGGGTTTGGGGGAGCTAACAATGAACTTGGGAAGGGGGTGGGAGCATTAAAAATGATTGTGATGATGTATCTACAACTCTTAAAAAAATTGATTTAGTGTTGCTTTTGCCACCTCCCTTGTGGAGCCAGGTTCTGGGCCTAAGGCTGAGTGGCCGAGCTGCTGAGCACCCAGCTATCAAAAGATAGAGCGTCTGGGGTCTTGAAGGCTTGAAGATAAACAAGCAGCCATCTAGCAGGGAAGCAAATAAGCCCACATGAAAGAAGCACACCAGCCTGTGTGATCATGAGGTGTCGAAGGGATCAGGTATTAGGCACCAAAGAACAAAAAATCGTATCATTGTAAATGAGGGGGAGTGCGGAATGGAGACCCAAAGCCCATCTGTAGGCAACTGGACAATCTGGACAGTCTGTAGGGTCTCGGGGAGGAGACAAACCAATCAGGGTGCAGTATAGCACAGATGAAACATTAAACATTTTATTAAGGGCTCATACAACTGTTATCGCAATCCATACACACATCAATTATGTAAAGCGCATTTGTACATCATTCTCAAAACATTTTCTCTCCACTTAAACCCCCAACATTAGGTTTCTCTCCTCTACTTCTTTAATGCTTCCTCCCCCCACATTATCATGATCCCAATTTTACCTTACAAATCCAGCTAGACCAGAGGATGTACACTGGTACAGATAAGAGCTGGAAACACAGGTAATCCAAGACAGATAAACCCCTCAGAACCAATAACGGATAGTACCAGGAGGGTAAGGGAAAGGTGGGGGGAAAGAGGGGAACCGATCATAATGATCTACATATAACCCTCTCCTGGGGGATGGAAAACAGAAAAGCAGGTGAAGGGAGACATTGGTCAGTGTAAGGCATGGGAAAAAAATTAAAATTACCAAGGGTTGTTGAGGGAGGGAGGATAGGAGAGGAAGGGTAAAAAAAAAAATGAGGAGCTGATACCAGGTAGAAAGAAAATGTTTTGAGAATGATGGCAACAAATGTACAAATGTACTTGTCACAATCGATGGATGGGAGGACTGTGGTAAGAGTTGTAGGAGCCCCCAATAAAATGATTTAAAATTAAAATTAAAATAAGGAAAGAAATTACTACCATGTCAGTAACATCACCATATTGCTTAGAGTCCTATATACTGCAGGGTAGAATAAATCGCCAGTAGATTGGGAAAAATAATTCCAGTCGTTTCTATTATCATTAAAATCTCCAACTGCAAAGATTCATTTCTGCTCTTACCTTTTAATCCCTCTAACAAGTAAAGATGCCCAGGGCTGATGCATAGAGAGGCACCAGCCACCATCAAAGCCTTCCTGAAACTCCTGGTCCTGGATCCGCATCTGGTGATGATGGGAATTGAACTTTAGCTCTGCTCTGGCCAAATGGAAAGGCTTCTTCTGTGAGACAGCACCTGTTTGGTCTACCCACTACACAGAACAAAACAAAACAAAGATTCAGTTTCTTCTGATAAGAAGAACCTGTAGGTTTACATGAATGAGCTCAGTGGAGAATAACAATGAAACAATTATTCTTAGAGAATTTTCTTCTTTTTTAAAAATCATTTTATTGGGGGCTCATACAACTCTTATCACAATCCATACATACATCCATTGCATGTCAAACACATTTGTGTATTTGTTGCCCTCATCATTCTCAAAACATTTGCTTTCTACTTGAGCCCTTGGTATCAGCACCTCATTTTTTCCTCTCCCTCCCAGCTCCCCTCTCCCTCATGTACCCTTGATAATTTAAAAATCATTTTGTCATATCTTACACTGTCCGATGTAGCTCTTTATTATCAGCTCCCCCTTTCTACCCTACCTCCCCTCCACCCTCCCGGTATTACCACTTTCACTGCCAGTCCTAAAGGGGTCATCTGTCTTAGATTCCCTGTGTCCAGTTCCTATCTGTACCAGTGTACATCCTCTGGTCTAGCCAGATTTGTAAGGTAGAATTGGGATCATGATAGTGGGAGGAGGAAGCATTTAAGAACTAGAGGAAAGTTGTATGTTTCCTTGTTGCTACACTTCACACTGGCTGGCTCATCTCCTCCCCGTGATCCTTCTGTAAGGGTATGTCCAGTTGGCTACATATGATGGGCTTTGGGTCCCCACTCCACACTCCCCTTCTTTCACAATGATATTATTTTTTTGTTCTTTTATGCCTGATGCCTGATCCCTTCGATACCGCATGGTCACACAGGTTGGTGTGCTTCTTCCATGTGGGCTTTGTTGCTTCTCAGCTAGATGGCTGCTCGTTTACCTTCAAGCCTTCAAGACCCCAGATGCTATATCTTTTGAGAGCCAGCACCATCAGCTTTCTTCACCACATTTGCTTGTGCACACTTTTGTCTTCAGCAATCGTGTCAGGAAGGGGAGCATTGTGGAGTGCCAATTTAATAGAACAAAGTGTTCTGGCATTGAGGGAGTACTTAAGTGGAGGCTCAATGTCCATCTGCTACCTTAATACTAAAACCTATAAATATATGCATATAGATCTATTTCCCCATCCTCACATATACAAATAATTACATGTGTACATGCATTTACTTAGACCTCTATAAATGCCCTTTGCCTCCTAGTTCCTTCTTCTATTTCCTTTTACTTTTGGAGAATTTTCTTAGAAAATATTTATCCCCCCTTTATCTGAAACAAGACAAAAAAGGGAAAGCATGAATTCAGTAGGACCCCAGCTCTGATAACAAGGCCCATCTTAAAAGATAATAGAGAACGCCAAAATCTCTATAAAAAGCTTTCTAATTCTAGCTACACCACATTTACGAGACCAAAGGGCTGTAATTATTCCTACTTTATGCTTTTTAATGATCCACATTGGATTCTTTAAACTATCCCAGCATAGTTTTATCAGCCAAATGAAGGTTCAACCTGTTGGTCCACATATTCTTCATGTGTTCAGGACTGGGCTCACATACTGGGACCATAATAAAACTAAAGAGAGAGATACTACTGTCACGGGCAGCAGTTCTGACTACTGGACGCATGAAGTACTCTCATACTCTGATATCAGCTGCTCATGCCCTAAAAGAGAAAACGAGCATAAGTGAAGCAAGGCTTATGCAAAGGGAATAGAAAATGATAGGGTAAAGGTTACTATAGAAGACTGGGGTGTCCTAGAAGTAGTTCATTCAAAGAATGACAAAGTTTAATGTTTCTTCCAGAGCAAGAAGATAAAGTGCTCCCCTCCCTCACAAAAAAACAAAACAAAAACGAATGAAGAAAGAAAAGGCTCTGTAGGATGGTGAGGTGTACGGCTAGTTCTCTTAATTTCCTGATGCTTGTATCTAATAACTTACAGGGAGAAAACACTACAATAACAGGTTTCTATTTTCTTAACTGTAAAATGACAACTAAATGAATCTGAAATTTTTCTGCAATTGGAGAGGTCTGAGGGGCTGACCCAATCACAACTACATGGACACCTGACCCTCCACCAGAAGAATTTATTTCAGAGGACAGCACTGAAGCTGCAGCTCTGGGAG